ACAGCCAAGAAACCTTAAGGATTTAGAGAGAATCTGTAAAGAGGAGTGGATGAGATGTGTGCAAACCTGCTGACCAACTACAAAAAAACGCTCTGTGCTTGCCAACAACGGTTTCTGCACCAAGTACGTCATGTTGTGCTTGGGGATCAAATACTTATTTCACTCACTTAAATGCAAATCAATTTCTAACCTTTGTGTTTTTTCCTGGATTTTTTGGTTGGTATTCCATACGTTAAAATAAACCTACCATAAAAACGACAGACCTTTCATTTCTTTTTAAGTGGGCAAACTTACAAAATCAGCAGGGGATCAAATAAATATTTTTCCCACTGTATGAAGATCCAAATCCCTCCTGAAGAAGCACGGTATGCTGAATGCACCTGTTTTCTCTGATGAAGCAAGGATGCCATTTTCTATTTCTTTCTGTTTTGTTTGTGTATTTGTTTTGTGCATGTGTCTGTTTGTGTGTGATGTGTTTGGTGCAGGTTCATAAGAGCTTCATGATTATTAGTACATAAATATTTTTAAAGGGACACTATGTAACTTTTGGAGAACTGTGTCAAGCACAGTGAAAGCCTTTGTCTTTAAGGATATCTTTTGGGCTGAGAAAAATCCAGAACATCTTCAAAAGAACTTCAAGAAGATTGTGGCTCCACTGTATGTGAGTGTGAATGATTGTAAAGGAGAAGGCAAAACCCCCTAATTATCTTTACATTAATATTGAAGCTATCACAATAATTTATCAATTAATTTAAACTTATATTATAAAACATATATTAATGTGTTTGGACGCTATTTAAGGACACACTAGTGTAAGCTGTGTCAGTGTGTGTAAACGATATTCGTAGCATGATGAAAATAAACAAAACATTTAATAATCAACAAGTAGGCTACTATTGTTTGCTGTCAAGTCTTGAGACAAGTAAGTTTAATGTGTCATTAAAAAAGATTGGACTACTTGGCGAGTGTTTTTCTCCACATTGTTGGTGAATTGGCATCCCCTACTGGACAGTTATTTCTACATTATTTGGAAACCATGTACAATATATAACAAATATTCTTCTCCGTGCATCTACAATAAGATTATTTTATTACTACTACTACACTGCACTGTTGAACGTATACATTATTTTCTATTTTGTATCTACAGTACTGGTCAAAAGTTTGGACACATTATTATTTTTAATGTTTTTGAAAGATGTCTCGTATGCTCATCATGTAGGCTTTTTTTTTTTTGAAGCCTAGAAACAAAATTGTAAATGTGCTAGTTTAATAATTACAGTTCATACATATTAACCACTAACACTGTAAAATTGATAAGGTCAGTAAATTATGAAAACATATGTTTTACTTTGACTCATCTAAATACATTAAGCAAGATTCAACTCATTTTTTAAAGTCAGTTTAATTTAATTTAATATGAAATGACTTAAATAGCCAAGTTCATTGTACTTAAAAATTAAAGGCAGCAAATGGTTTTTTTTTCTTTTTTATGAGTCATATGTCATATGAGTCAATCATATGGGATTTTTTTTTTTACTTCTCTTTCTCTTTCTCTTTCTCTCACAGTTTCATTTCACTTTGACAGGCCCATTTTGTTTACACACTCGCGGAAAACCAGAAGTCTTTAAATTCAAGAGAAATGAAACATATTTCCCCACTAGTGATTCAACCTCTGTAATAGAGCCACACCGCTGCTCTTTGGGGCAAAGCAAATCATATTTGAGTTGTATTTCTGTCAAGGTAGGAACTTAATACCATCCAAAAATATGACTTTATCATGTTGTCTGCTTTTAAAAAGCAGACAACTTTATTTTTTTTTTATAAAAATAAAAAAACTTGATGGAAAAATTTGCGGACCTGGACGCAAACTCTGACCCATGCGTACGGACTTTTTTTCATCATATACATTTACATTAAATATTCCACTCTCATTAATAGAGATAAGCACTGAAATTATATAAAGTCAGTACGCAGAAGTTAAACCAAAATTATATGAATTTAGACATAGCCTATATGTAGTGGATGCGCTTGATTACTTTTCCTGTGGTATGTTATGTTTTAATGACAGCGAGGAGTGCTATAGGTGCACATTAATTTATCTTTAAAGTAAACTGCACATCTCATGTTATGAGAAAATATTTTTAGCGAGAACAATGATCAATGATGCGCACTTACGATAACTTTTCGATATTGTGGCAGACACTTCTGGATTCGGTGGAACGGTCTATTGTCCGGTTTGAATAGGACCAATGATAATAGCTTGTACAAGTTGCTGCACCGAAGTGTTGATGTTGTGTGAAGGCATCTCCACAACATTATGAAAAATGCCACTGTATTTGAAGGATACAACTCGAAGAAAACGGTAAGATTTGCACGTTTCCTTTTTAAAATAATTTGTCAATGAGTCAGAGTCAGATAATTGTATGTACACTGCAATAAATATAGGCCTATATTTTTCCACTAAAAATAGCTAAAAGATGTTCACCTTATCAGCAAAACTGCATTAATTTAATTGAATTTAATTGAATTTGAATTAAAAAAACAAACAATTGAAATATTATTGGGCCAGTGGAAATGAATGAGATCAACTCTATTCTAAATAATTTTTCTGAGAACTATTTTAAACAGTTTTTATGGATATTTTGATATATTTATTCTAAAACATAACAAGGATACCGGATGATTTTTAGCAATAAAAATGAATGTGTATGGCACAAATGGCATTTATAGTCCGTATCTCATATTTCCTTAATGTCTTGTACCTTTGACGGTGTTAAACATGGTGTCATGTGGATGGGAATATGCATGGAAATGATATGCAGATGAGGTTATGCATAGTAAAACTAATCGTTGTAAGCTCCATATTTGGTGATTTCGGGGAGTCGGGGTGGAGATGCACGTACGCACAATCTTCCCCTGACTGGGTTTTATAAAGGGATTTTTGCGCAGGTTCTGGCATAGGCATGGTTTTATAAATCTGAAAACTTTTGAGCGTACACAAAATCTAGCTTTTGTGACTAAGTACACTTTTAGGATGAAATCTACGGAGAGTTTTATAAATGAGACCCCTGGACTGTGTTTCTCAAAAGCATCGTAAGCTAAGTTGATGGTAGAGTCAATGCTTTTGGGAAACCCATGAATGAACTGCTTGTATAAATATCTTCCCGGTCTACTGACATTTGTTATGACATCCACTTCAAACATTACAATGCTAACTTTCTTTAACTCTACAATACCTAAATCCACTACACCAGCTAAAAGGAAAGCATTCATGTGACTGGAAAGAAAGCGAGGCTTCGTTTCCCGGTGAACATGCGATTCTCTGAAATCATGTGATTTTCAGCTCTTTATCAGCAACAATGGAAATCAAGTGAAAGTGAAACCCGTAAACAACTTCAACAAAATGTGGCTTTATAATTTATCTTTGTAGATTCATGACATATTACAGATAAGCGGCAGCTCGTTGAGTTCCCTTTCGATACTACACTCGTACTGCGTCTTTGCTAGACGCTATGGGAAAAAGTCATTTTTTCTCCTGAACTGAAGCCTTTTTCAATCACGCAGTGAAACTGCATGGCCATTGGTTCGTGCAGTGTGTTTTAAAAATGAACCTATGGCAGCGAAGCCCGCCAAAGCCCGCCAGATTGGGCGGAGTCATCTGGCTATATAAGCGGCCGCTTCGCCATAGGATTCAGATTTCTTCTCCTTCAGCGACGACGACGTTCTTCGCATCTCTGCTGACTGAAGAGCCTGCTCGCCGTTGACACGCCTCGCAGTGGAATGACTCTGCCCGGCTGATTCAGCACCTTTCGCCGCCTTCAGCGACGTGCAGCAGCAGTCTGGTTCTCCTGCCGCCATCCGGCGAAATAATAAAGAGCAAATTTCTAAGAGCAAATTTCTACGGTGTTGTTTCAAATGCCGCGCTATTACTGCGGTATGTGCAGGGCTCCCTTGCACGCCGATGACAGCCATCGTGAGTGCGTTTCCTGCTTGGGGAAATCCCACGCGGAATCCGCGCTCACCGAGACCATTTGCTCCCACTGTGAGAGCATGAGTCTCGCCTCTCTGCGCTCGTGGATAGCTTTCTTTGCTGAAAGTGACCCCGCCCCTCGCGCCCTCCCGTTTTCTTCCTCCCAGGAGCCTGTGAGGAAAAAACAGCAGGGCAGAGGATCTCAGCGCTCGGATGATCTGGTCTCGTTCGGTGGGAGTGACGAGGAGCTGCTAGATGACAGCCTGTCATTAGCAGCCTCAGACGCGGAAGAGCTGTCAGGCTCAATCGCTGACCCCGCCCCCCTGCCGCCATCCGAACCCAGCGATGTTAAACCCGGGACGGACGCCGAATTACTTTGTGTCCTCTCGAAAGCCGTCGAAGAGCTGGGGTTGGAGTGGTCTCCACCGGAAGAGCCCTCCCGCAGCCGTCTGGACGAGTGGTTCCTACCGAGGCGCCGTCAAGCTCCTCGCCAGCGATCCTCTCCTTTTTTTCCGGAGGTCCACGACGAGCTCACCAGATCATGGCGCGCCCCATTCTCTGCCCAGGCTGCCCATCCATCCAAGTCATGTAGGGCAACGTCAGCCCATGCTGGACGTGCCTACTCATCGGCTGGGCAAGCGGCCTCGGTGCTCCACTCAATGGCCGTGCTCCAGGTCTTCCAGGCCAAGCTCCTCGCCAGCACAGACGAGTCAGGCCCAGACCCCGCAATGCTCAGGGAGCTGAGGAGCGCGACAGACCTGGCTTTGCGAGCAACAAAGACCACGGTTCAGGCTATTGGAGTGCCACCTATGGCTGACCCTGACCGAGATCAAGGACGCTGACAAGGTCCCGTTCCTAGACGCCCCGGACACGTCCTGCACGCCGAAGTGAGGAATTTGCTGGAAAAGGGAGCCATAGAAGTGGTTCCTCCAGTCCAGAGCGAGTCAGGCTTCTACAGCCGTTACTTCCTCGTCCCCAAGAAGGACGGAGGCCTACGGCCCATCCTCGATCTCAGATGTCTGAATCACGCCCTCATGAGACGGCCATTCAGAATGATTACATTGAAACAGATCCTCTCGCAAATCTGCCCAGGGGACTGGTTCTTTTCTCTGGATCTGAAAGTCGCCTACTTTCACATCCAGATAGCCCCCCATCACAGGCCATTCTTGAGATGCGCCTTCGAGGGAGTGGCTTATCAATACATGGCCCTTCCCTTCCCTTCGGGTTGTCGCTAGCTCCACGCAACTTTACGAAGTGCATGGATGCGGCTCTTTCCCCTCTGAGACAGGTGAGAATCCGCATTCTCAACTACCTCGACGACTGGCTCATTCTGGCACAGTCGAAGGCGGAGTCACTATCTCACAAAGCCCTTCTCCTCAGCCATTTGGAATGCCTGGGGCTCAGGGTGATCTTTGCCAAGAGCGCCTGCGAGTCTCGTTCCTGGGAACAGTATTCGACTCGGCTAAAAATTAAAGCGAAGGTCACAACAGAGCGCGCCCTGAGAATACGGCAGCCCGCAGCTTCATTCAAGGCTGGTGCCTCTCACCCCCTCAAGAGGTTTCAGAAAATGCTAGGCCTCATGGCTGCAGCATCTCCAGTGCTACAGTTGGGCCTGCTGCGAATGTGCCCCCTCCAGCACTGGCTGAAACCGTGGGTTCCATCCTTCGCGTGGCGTCATGGATGCCTGATTATCAGGGTAAATCAGGCCTGTGTAACAGCCCTGACCCCCTGGATGAACACTCAATGGATGGAACAGGGAGTTCCCCTGGGAATGGTCAACAGGAGGAAGGTGGTTTCGACAGATGCTTCCAACACAGGTTGGGGAGCTCTGTGCAAAGGGAAACCGACGTTCGGCCACTGGTCGATAGCGGAAAGCAGTCTGCACATCAACTGCCTCGAAATGTTGGCGGTATGGTGGGGCTGTCAAACCTTCCTACCAGACCTCAAGGGACATCATGTCTTGGTCCATTCGGACAGCATGACGGTGGTGTTCTACATAAATCGCCAGAGGGGACTATCCTCGAAGCGGCTCCTTGTACTAGTAGAGCGCCTCTTGGAATGGGCCCAACTAAACTTACGTTTGCTGAGAGCAGCACACATTCCGGGCATATTGAACCGAGGAGCGGACATGTTGTCACGAAGCAAGATCCCCTCAGAGAAGTGGATGCTTCATCCGCAGACAGTTAAAAAAATTTGGGAAGTCTTCGGCAGGGTGGAAGTAGACCTCTTTGCCTCAGAAGACAATTCTCACTGCCCAATCTATTTTTCCAAGGACAAGGATACTTTGGCCCACGACTGGCCCAACCTCCTTCTCCACGCTTTTCCCCCGGTTGCCCTGATTCCACAGGTAATCAGGCAGATCAGGGAACAGAAACGCAAAGTGCTCCTGGTGGCCCCGCTCTGGAGAAACCAGCATTGGTTGGCAGAGCTATTGCAGCTGCTAATAGCAGCCCCGTGGCCTATTCCCCTGAGGCGAGATCTCCTCTCCCAGGCGAACAGGACGATATGGCACCCCAGGCCAGAGCTGTGGGCCTTGCACCTGTGGCCACTCGACGGGAGCCTATTAGTCTCCCAGAGTGTGTATTGAACACCATTTCTCAGGCTGGAGCTCCGATGACAAGACGCCTTCGCTTTAGACGAAGTAACCTGAATCCTATGGCGAAGTGGCCGCTTATATAGCCAGATGACTCCGCCCATTCTGGCGGGCTTTGGCGGGCTTCGCTGCCATAGGTTTGTGCAGCACCGCTGCCGAGCCATTGGTTCGTTTTTAAAACATATTGCATAAACCAATGGGTTTCACTGCGTGATTGAAAAAGGCTTCAGTTCAGGAGAAAAAATGACTTTTTTCCCCATAGCTTCTAGCAAAACCGCAGTACTCGTTCCCGTATCTCAGGTAACCGAGGATACGTTTGTAACCGAGTACGATATCTGAGTCCCGACCACATGTGTTTTTATAAGAACCTTTTTTTTTGCGTATTGATTACCGCATTTGTATAACCACACACATACCATAGTTAAACTGGTTTTTGTAGCAAAACAATAGTTATTTTGCGGTTATGGAATAACTACAATAACCATGTTTTTTATGGTTTTATTTGAGGTAAAATCATGGTTAATTTTCTAGTTTTAGGGCTGGACAATGACGACGATATACTGTTTGAGATCTAGCTATATTGTACTTATATAATACATTTTGTTCCTAAACACTCAAACCATGAAAAAGAAATTGCAGCAACGATCTGGGCCGACATGTTTGTCTCTGGGAACATCTGGATGAATCCGAAATTGTCCCCTATTGTGACAGTATGGACCTTGTTTTCTGTGTTTCCCTGTTCTCCCGCCTTGCTTTTGTTCATTGACCTAGTTTCTGTCTCCTCTTGATTTCATTAGTTAGTTCACCTGTGTCTTGTTAATTATCCTCATTTGGTCTGTGTCCTTTAGTTCCCCTTTCAGTTCAGTTCGTTGTCAGCTATTGTAGTTGAGTATGCAGCTTGTGTTTCCCTGTTTGTCTATTAGATCTTCATCATCTTGAATTATTATTAAATGCTTATTTAATCATCTTCGTCTCCGTGCGCCTATCTCCCACAAGACCGTGACACTCATTCAATATTCTCTACATTAGTCCACTAATATAGTTTACTTGAATGAGTGAATGCGGAGCGTGCCGGAAGTGCTGCCACTTTTGCGTAATTTGTGCTTGCTGTTTAATAATCATTTGAAGCTTATTAGCAAACTGGCAGCTCCAGTATTAATGAAAGGATTTATCTTGAACTCTGTCTTGGACACTATATATAAACCTTACTTAAACAATTTAATAATCAATTAAAAAGGAATTTATACCTGTATTATATTACGCTGTACGCCGTGGACCAGCGGTTTGTAAAATGAATAGATGATTCACGAAATCGTATTCCCAAGCTTCTCTCATATTATTTTTGATTAGATGTAAAATCTTGGCAGTATCCATGCTTTAACTTCAGTGAAATATGGCATTTGACAAATATTGTTGCTTTTCTAGGCGAAACAGCTCTTATTACAAGACAGAAGTCAAAATTCACTGCAAAGAAATGGCAGAATCAGCAGCGAGTCGGTTTGTGGATCAGTTCAGCTGTCCAGTCTGTTTGGATGGACTGAAGGAGCCGGTGACGATTCCCTGTGGACACAGTTACTGTATGAGCTGCATTACTGACTGCTGGGGCCAGAAGGAGCAGGGGCAACCGTACCGCTGTCCCCAATGCAGAGAGAGCTTCAGTCAGAGACCTCTACTGAAGAAGAACACTCTGATAGCTGAGATGATGGAGACGCTGCAGCAGACGGCCCTACAAACGGCTGCTGTGGACTGTGATGTTTGCACTACAGAGAAGAGCAGAGCTGTAAAGTCCTGTCTGCAGTGCTTGGCCTCCTTCTGTCAAACTCACCTGCAGCCTCACTATCAATCTCCAGCGTTTATGAAGCACAAACTAGTCAAAGCCTCCAGAAACA